AGTTTTTATTTCTTCCTGTCGTGTACCTAGATTTTTCACTTCTTTTGTTTCCCTCGGATTCGCAGTGCAGTGTTGGATGGGAACAGCCGTAACAAGCATTCTTGATCTCCTTCCTAATCTGAAGTGGAAGTCTTTTAGTACGTCACAATTAACTATGACGTTTGCTTTCTTTATTTGGTTTTTATAAATGTCATTTATTAAATTAAGAAAGTTGTTTTCCTAGGGCCAGGGTCAGTGGCTTATGCCTGTGATCCCCGCCCTTTGGGAGGCTGAAACAGAAAGATTGCTTGAGGCCAGGAGTTCAGCACTAGCCTGGGCACCATAGGCAGACCTTGTTTCTAAATAAATAAATATTTTTTAAAAAGAAAGTTACCTTCTATTTCTACATGACTGAGATTTTATATGATGATTAAATATCAGCTTTTATGAAGTAGTCTTACTACTTGACATTTACTGAGGCGATCATATAATTTTTCTTCTTTATTCTGTTACTGTGGTGAATTGCATTGATTGCTCTGTGAATGTTAATTTGTCCTTGGGTTGTGGGAGATCCTTACTTGGTGGCTATACAATATCCTATAATGCATGGTTGAATTTGAGTTGGGACTAGTTTAAAAATTGTTTTTGCATCTATGTCTATGAGAGAGACTTCCCTCTAATTGTTCCATCTTGTCATGGCCCTTTTGGGTGTTGATATCAAGGCTATGCCAGATTCATAAAGTTAGGAAATCTCACATTTTCTGATTTGGGGGAAGAATTTATAAAAAATTAATATATTTATTTCTTAAATGTTTGCAATTATGGACTTTAAACTACCGATTTATTTTTAAATAGATATAGAACCCCTAAGATTTTAAAATTTCTCTTCCAGAAATTTTCTCTTACCAGTTTTGACAAGTTGAGTTTTTCTAGTCATGTCCTCTTTTTCTAAATTTTGAAACTTACTATAAGTTCTCCATGCTTCAGAATAGGTATTTTCTTCTGAGATATTTTCCACCTCAACAGTCTTTTCCCCAAGGGTCTAATCTACCATGAATCCATTTTTGAGATTTTAAATTCAAAGCTTATAGTTTTAAAGTTTATTAAATTTGTAGTTTTAAAGTTTCATTTGATTATTTTGTTTGTAGACTTGAATTCTCTACTATAATTCTCCAAATAGTTTTGTTATTTTCTTTAATTTCCTCTGGCTCTGTTTCCATTCTTTTCCTTGGGAGTTTTTTCTTCTGGCCTTTCTAATCATTTGATCTTATTTCCTTTCTGATTGGTCATTTTTTAAATTTATGGCTGAATAGTGTATATGAATAAAATGTAGCGATGATGAGATTGCGGATGATGAAATAGGTTTCCTCTTGGAGGAATTTACACAAAAATTAAAAGAATGGCAGATACATTTAATCTTCTCGGTTTGAGCTGATTCAAGTAAGAGTTTCAGTCTTCATGAAGACTGGTCAACTTTTTACGTCACTCTTCTCCTTGGGAAGGGGTCAGCAAACTTTCTTGCTAGGGCCACATAGTAAATATTTTAGGCTATGTGGGCCTGTGGTCTCTGTTACAACCAACAACTGAGCTGTCATTATGGTACAAAGGCATTGACAAGCAATATGTGAATTAATAATGCAGCTGTGTTCCAATAAAACTTTATTCATAGTAATAGAAAGTTAACCAGATTTGACTTCCAGACTATGGTTTTCCAACCCTAGTTCTAGGGTGTAGATCTCCAGGAGTCCCACCTCAAAACTTGAGCTATTCAACTAAAATTTTGGGGTTTTTTTCTGTAGAGGGCCTTAAACTTTTAGTTTTTGTCTCCATTGCGCTGTGGCACTTCTCTTAGATCTGCTAACTTTCTCGCCCTGTTGCTACTATGGGAGACTAGGAGACGGGGCTGAGACCCATACATGCTTATAGAGTTGAGTGCAGGTGCTGAAATCAGCAACCTTCAGGCAAAAGCTAACTAGGCTTCTAAGTTAGGAGCTGGATGCCTGTAAAGTAGGTGTGGGTGTTTTAAGTCCATCTAAGGAGGGTGCTGATAACCACAGACAAGAAGCAGCTTCAGTAGGCTTGTCAGCTATCCAGGTCATCTTATGTGAACTTTGGCTATGTAGTATCATTTGCATTATGGTTTTAAAATTTCTCCACCCTTTATATTGCCATGACAGTTTTAAAATAACTCTATAAAGTATGAAAATGAGAGGGAACCCAATTGTAAAAATTACTACCCAAATTCTTAATAAAAATCAACCCCTTAGCCTTGAATACTCCTCTCCTCAATTTGTGAAAATTCTTAAGACCAAAAGCCTCTTCCTTTGGGTGCAGCTGTTCTTTTCATGTCTTCTCGCTCCCTTTCTCTTAAGAGAGCGTACTTTCACTTTTGATATTTCAACTTACATTTTAAATCTTCCAATAAAAGGTGCTTGCTTTTGGCTTCCATGGTGCATCATGAAATTCTTTTCCCAACTATCCACCACCTTGGAGGATGGTAACAAGCCCATTCGCTGTAACTTGTGACTTAGCAAATGCCCGGAGGAGAAAAGCAACACCAAATGTTAGGTCCACCTCTCTGCTCTTACCTGCTCCCCAGGACCTGAGCTTCTGAAATAATCACTTGAGGGTAACTCTCTCTTTTTTTTTTGAGACAAAGCCTCAAGCTGCCCCCCCTGAGTAGAGTGCTGTGGCATCACAGCTCACAGCAAACTCCAACTCCTGGGCTCAAGCTAGTCTCCTGCCTTAGCTTCCCAAGTAGCTGGGACTACAGGCACCCGCCACAACACCCGGCTATTTTTTTTTGGTTGCAGCCATCATTGTTGTTTGGTGGGCCCAGGCTGGATTTGAACCTGCCACCTTAGGTGTATGTGGCTGGCACTTTAGCCACTTGAGCCACAGGCACTGAGCCAGGATGTACCTCTCTAATGTCTTCACAGATTATTATCATTGTTGTTATTTTGGATTTGATCCATCTTCTTTCCTTGTTCTTGGTACAAGTCCTCTACCACAGCTAGAAGCAGATGAGGAACTTTTGGAAATCCATATTCACCAATTACCTTAATTATGAGTGGACAAATCATCTTTATATTTTAGATTTTATGCCAGAAATTGACAGAACACAAGGTATTCAAAAAATCGTTTTCACACTCCGTCTTCAAATGCTTGTTCAAACTGAATTTGCCCAATTCTCTACATGATGACTGTTTCTTAGTTCTCATCCAAAAAAGCCTTCTTACTGACCTTCCCAATATTCCTTGTCTAATTTATTACTTATGTTGATAGCCAGAGCGATTCCTATAGTACATAAATTTGAGCATTCCCCTATTTAAAACTCTTTAAAGACTCCCATCTCTCTTAAAATATAAAAGAAAAACTTTGAGATGGTTTGTAAGGCCCTTCATGATCTGGCCTTGGTCTACCTCTCTGATCTAATTTTTCAACGTTTTTTCCCCTTAAAATCATGCAATCAACCTCTAACCATTTGCTTTCCATTTGTTGAACTGGCCTAATTCCCTCCCACCCCGGTGCCTTTGCACATGATCTGTCTAGGCTATGCTTTCCCCCTTCCTTCACCTTTGCCTTAAGGGCCTACATGTCCTTCAGTCTCAAGACTCCTCTGATCCCCTAATTCTGGCGCCTATATCCAGAGTACTGTATATTTTCCCAGTGACAGTTCATATATTTTTATATTGAAAATGCGTGTGTTTACTTATTTGTAGACTGCCATGACTATAAGGGGCAAGGTTATCTCCAATGAAGTGTTAAATCATTATCATCTTGTACAGTGTCCATTTAGCTTATAATAAGTGCTCAGTAATTGTGAAGGAATAGGTGAATGGAATGCTTTAAATACATTTGGCAGTATTTACTTTGGATCATGATGTTTACATTCACTGGATTCTCAGTATAACAGTGTGAACTGGGAAAGCAGTATTATTTATGTTAAAAATGGACAGAGAGGTAACAGAGAGGCTGGATGTCTTACTTGGGACATTTCAGCATGTTTAATGGCAAAGGTAGACCTCATCTCTAAGTCTTGTGGGTCTCAGGCCACGTGTTTAAATTGGGTACTATAGTTTTCCCTTACTGGATACTTTTGTTTCCCATTACCCCTTTTGCATCCTTTCCTCTCCTTTGTTTTCCATTTTTCCTCTTCTACGATTGACGTTAAGGCTACACTAAAAGCTAGAGAGAAGCTAGTGCCTTGATTATCAAGAGAATGGGGATTTTTAGAGAGTTGAATTGTTCATCAATAAGCAAAACGTCTCTCTCGCCCCATGACTCTGTGTCCATTGGGCTGGGAGTGCAGACGATGTGCATGTAATAGACAGTAACTCCTCTTTCAACGTGAGATCATTCATAGAAATCCAGGAGTTTGTGAGAGGTCATTCATAGTGGCAAATTACTTTGCAATCTAGACCCATGATTTAGATCCTGCTCATGAATCCTGAATCTTTTTACTTCAAAACCATGTATGATGCTTGGAAGATCAGAAATGAACTTCAGGTTAACCACTTCGTCAGACTCCTTAGCTATTAACAGTGGGATTATGCGTCATTTAGTTGTGAAAAAGAGGAAGTTTGTATGTGGAATTAATAACGTGCTAAGAGGGAACAGTATTCTCTGTGGTCCCTTGAAGGAAATAGTATTGACTAGATTTTTAAGTAGTTTACCATTAACTTCTGTTTTGAAATCATTTAAATACTTAATGTATATTTTGTTTGCGTGTTTGTGTGGGGTGGGGGGAAGCTATAATTTCCTCCTTTATTCATTAATTCTATACCATACAGTGTGCTAGGGTCAGTTAAATTGTAGACAGTAATACTGGGAGAATAATGAGTCTGGGAAGATGGTATATGAAGGATTTTCTAAAAATCGTCCCTTGAATGTTGTACTGTGGAGTCCCCTGGTCACAGGAAGGGAAAACCTAAAGCCAGAGGCCAGGAAACACCAATTTTCCTGGCCTCCCTCTTGGCTGGTCTGCAAAGTTTAAGGATGTATTTCTTTGTGCCTTTCAGGTAGCATTCTTTTCAAGTGGATGGCCATGGACTCAGAGAAGATCTCAGAGAAGCAGGAGGAAATTCTCACTATCCTGGAAGAAAAATTTCCTAACTTGCCTCCAAGAGAGGATATCATCAACATCCTGCAGGAGACCCAGTTCAGTGCTCAGGGTGAGTGATTCTATCTCCAGCCTCTCACCATTATGAGTGGGAAAGATTTGTGGTATAGAGTGTAGTCAGGCCTGAAAGGGCAAATTCAGTGTCTTTTCACTTTCTTCTCTTCTGCTTATGCTAGCGGAAGAGTCTCAGGCACACATTGTCGGCTCACCTGGAAACGGACAGCCCACACTGCAGCCCTTTCAGCCTGCATGTGTGGTTAACATGTGTGTCCACCACACACCCCAGATGCATCATTTTACATTCAATTCCTGAGCTGAGAGTTTTCTATTTTGAGCATGCGGCTGGAGCAGTGTCAAGAACAATGGAATTTTATAAATTAATTAATTTTAGACAAAGAGAGGGAAGATGGCTAGGCTGATGAAATTGTTCTCCAAGTCCAGGCTTTCTCAGGGCAGTGAATTTCCTGAATCAACAGTTTTATAATAGTAAATAGCTATACCTCATGAAATGCCTGATATGTACAAGGATCTGATGGTACAACTTCACAAGGATTGCCTTTCTAATCCTCATGACAACGCTGAAAGTCAAGGGCTTTACTGTTCCCCATGTCCAGAGAGAATACTGAAATACGGAAAGATTTCTTTGCTTTCCCAATTTTAAAGACACACATCAAGTGGTCAGGCCAGGATTTAAACCCAGACAAGCTATCTTTAAGGTGCAAACACTAAATTGCATAACTTTCTCTCTTGTTTCGGGATCCCCCAGGGGCAAAGACTGAGGCAGAGCAGTTTCATGGCAGGTGATCCTGGCACAGCTGGTGGGGGAATGGATGGCTGCATCCACCCAGTTAGCTGACTGGGAAACCAGAGCTTAACCCCTCTGGAGAACCCTCCAAGAAAAATGTAAAGTTATACCCCAGGGTTATCCCACCTGAGGGGTGCAGAGATGTGCAGGAATGTCCTCACCTGTGCTCTAAGAGCTGATGGTTAAATTTTCAGGAATTTTGTGAGTTGGTTGACGTTGGATTGGGAGCTGGAGATCTGTCATGGAAGGAGTATTTATACAACAGAAACTGACAAACACTATGAATCAGGTTTTGTTGCTGGTTGTTAAACATTTACTTGCGATAGTAAGGACTACTCAGTCCCAGAAGTTCTCCAGAGTAGGCTCTGGTGACCAGAGAAAGCCTTCAGGAAAAGAGGTTGCAGGTGCTGGTGGCCAAGCCCGCTCTGATGGGGGAAGTCTGAAGAAATGGGGAGGGCGCTGACAGTGTCTGCTGTACCGTCTGTTACCTACGCACTGGTGTGGCTCCAGGATGCTAGGCATTCTGTCACTTATTTTCAAAATGACACCAAACACTGAATGTCACGTTACATCATAAGTCATTTTATGTGGCACCATGAAAGAGTGTGACTTTTCAGTCTTTGAGTCAAAGAAAAATATTTAGTGCCTGTTTCCCCATGCTGCTGTGACTGGCGGTGTGTTCTCAGGTAGGTCAAGCAGTCAGCTGAGATGTCTTAACATCTATCTGGGAAGAGTACATGTGCTTTCCTAGCCTTTGCTGTGGATCTTCTTCCCACGAGGGTAGGCCTAATCACATGTAATTATACTGAGTGAGAATTAGATGTCAAGCCTTTGCTGTTTCGCTGTGATAGATTATATTGAGTCACATTGGTCAACTGACTACCACTGTAACAGTTCTGGATAATTTAGCCATTTGAGATTATTACTCTCATCAATTAAGGAATTCAATAACTTCTATTGCCTGAGCCAATTACGAGGATGAGCAGCTTAATTATGACAGTTTTATGGTACACATTTATGAAGTGTATTTTGGATAAAATTATACTAGAAATATACGGGCTTGCCAAAATGTATTCTGAAGGCAAACTGTGGCCTGGTTTGGTATATATGACTTGTTTGTCTGGTCATGCTAGCTCCCCATTTGCCCACCTCCACCCATCCCTTCCTGCCCTTGTCCTGTCTGGATGTCCAGAGGCTGACTCCTGAGTGTTTAATCCTCTGGGCTCCCTAGGCACTGGCTTCTGGTTGAGTTTGGCCAACAAGAAGATTTAGTAACGGGTGGGGGTGGTGAGATGGAGAAGAATGAGGCTGTAGTTGGTCTTCCCTGCTCCCTTTTCTGCTACTTTTCTGACACCAACCTCTGTTTCCTTCCCTTGTTCCTTCTGGTCCCTGGATGTCTCACCATCTTTTATTCACTGTGTTGGTCCTTCCCACCTCCCTGTAAGTGTCCCATCATCAAAGAGCCTTCTGTTCCATAGCGAGGGGTGACTTCTCTTTCTCACTGGGCTCCTACCTGAACCAGATGTTGCCATTAGTGTGATTATTGACTTAATGTGTGTGTGTTTATTGTAGATGAAGTGAAATTAGAGGGGAAAATATTAAAACTAACAAAGTGAATTATTCCAATAATATCTTGATATTATTTTTAAAAGTTCTCCAAATATAGCATAATGTTCTTTCCTCTCATTCACAGGTTTAAGTATTGAACAGACAATGTTGAAAGATATAAAGGAACTGTCAGATGGAGAAATAAAAGTGGCCATTAGCACTGTGAACATGAACCTTGAGGTAAGGGTGGAAATGCTTTTTTAGCAATGATAGATATCACACGGTTGCAGTCTAAGTACCTGCAATTCAACACTCTCCAGCACTTAAGTCAGCGTTAGTCTTTTGCTGTGAATGCTTTTCTTGTGATATATTTGAGTTGAAATGCAGGTTATTTCTTTAAGTGAAAAACACTATGCTGTCAATGAAACAAGCCACACCTGGATTCTCAAGATAAATGCTATTTTATTTGTCTTAGTACAACAAAACCTAAAACACGCTCGTTTATGTGTGTACGTGTACATATTTAACATGTTTAATAGCAATTATGATACATGCGGTTAGGTTCACTTCCTTATTTTCTATGTACCATCCTGCATTGTTCAGAGAACTTTTCTTTAAAGAAACAGGTTGTCCTTTGGCCTTGGTAAGCTGTTTGGATGCATGGCATTTTGGTAACCAATGGTGACAACTCAAGTGTTAATAAGGAACCTCCTTCTAGTCTGTTAAATGAATGACAACGAATGAACACCAATCTTGTCTTTGTGTGTTTCCTTGGTAAATTACCTTTTGCCTACTTTGGGGGTTTTCCATGACTTGCATGTTAATCTTAATTAACCTAGCTAATGGGAACTATATTTTACAAAGGTGCTTTTGTGCTTTGGCAGAAGTCTGAGGGATTTTTTTACTGCTATATTGCCTTCTCCAAGTTGATATAGGGTTGAGCTCCCAGGTCAAGTTTATGGAGATAAAATTTGCTCTCTATATTTTATATATTATATTTTGATTTTTGGAAATCTGTGTTGCTATTCTTTTTTTCTCGTAGTGATGATGAGTATATAACATGCGTATTTCTATGGGATAGCAGGTGTTCATATTGTTGTCAACACCCCAGAAAACCCAAGTACAATCCTGGTGCCTTTTTGTTAAATTTATGCCCAGTCGATTAACATCATAATTCAGCTTATGTATCTATATGAGTACTGGAGAGAAAACGTCACATTGCATAGTGCCTCCGAGTTTACAGAACACGTTCTCACTGTATGTACTCGGTAGAGCAACTCTACTGTTTCTGTGAACTTCCAGATTGATAAAAACCTTATGTAATTATTTATTGATGTGATTCAATACAAGAAATATATTCACTTTGGGATGTAGTTACTAGATAATCACCTTTAATTAGAAATTTACTTTGTGCCTAGAAAACCCAAGGAAAGCATGGATTTTACAAGGGTCAGTAGCTCTGAGAATCATTTCTACTAGTTCAAGCCTTAGGGTTTTCTTTCTCCCCCCTCCCACCCTGTCTTCCTACGTTTAATGGCTTCTTATTAGGTTTTAAATGCCTTGTTTGGAATTCCTTTCTAAATTAACATAGAACATCTTGTAATTGCTTGGGGAACTGTCTGTAGTTAGCAAATTATTTTAAGGCTATTAATATTATAGACTTACCATAGCTTTAATGTACCTTCATTTATATTATAGGGTTGTACAAATGGCTTTGTCAGATATGTTAAGCTGCAAATGTTTATCAAGTGGAATAAGTGATAAAATGATCATCTTAATGTTGACAGTAATTCACATACAGGTTCAGTAATTAATCAGGTGGTTAAGTACATCTCTGAAATCACTATATGATTTGGGAGGAGGGGAGAAGGACATTTGTGTATATGAAGATGCAGGGAGCTTTTTCACTTTTGCATAATGGGAATATTAAAGGTAATTGGGAAATGAAGAAAGAACTTTTTAGTAACATTGTCTACATTGTCATTGAATGAGAAAATTTACGCAATTTATCCAGTCTGTCAGTTGGGAAAATCCCCAAGTTAATGGCAGGGTTTGGTTTTCTCTGTAGATTCGCCTGTGATACAGTAGGGTTTTTGCAATTTCTACTCATATTTAGTTATGTTTCAGCATTCCTTTCTCATTCCATTCACCTCACTTTTGAAAATAATGATAGAATCTCCCAAGTCTTATATTGTGTCTCGGTGGCTCATGCCTATAATGCTAAGCACTTTGAGAGGCTGAGGCAGGAGGATTACTTGAGATCAGGAATTTGACACCAGACTAACCAAGAGTGAGACCTGGTCTGTACAAAAAATATTGATAGAAAAATTACCTGGGCAGGGTGGCACATGCCTGTAGTCCCAGCTATTGGGGAGGCTGGAGGATGGCTTGAGCCCAGGAGTCTGAGGTTGCAGTGAGGTATGATGATGCCTCTGCACTCTACTCAGAGTGACCCAGTGAGACTCTGTCTCAAATAAATAAGTAAATAAAATGGCAGAATCCTCACAATCTTATTTTCTTATTTTGTGTTTTGGAGCAGTTGCATAATTATCCTTTAAATCTGGTATATGCTCAAAGAAAATGTCTTAGTTTTTACGACTTTCTAAATCTTATTAGTCCTCTAAAGTACAGTCAACCTAGACACTTCATGATGACTCATGAATTCTTCATTTTGTGTTATCAGCCTCTGAACTCTGGGACAATGTAGTCTAGATGACCAATTGAGGATTTAAATTTATGCTATATGTCTTCCATTAATTTTGAACTTGTTTTAAAATTGATCATGGTTTGATAATATTTTAATTGAAAGCAATGATGGTATCTTTTACCTGTTTCCTTCAATTTTCTGGCACAAGGCTGAAAATATTACTTACTAATATAAGTAGTTAATACTTACTAATGTTTGTAATTTGTCCCTTTGATATCTGATTTTTATTTCTTTTTGAATTTAAATAAATCAGCTAGGAAAGCAAAGCCACCTAGCTAGGCATTCGAAGCAGCCTACTTTTCCCCTTCCCAACCAGTTTCTTCCAGACAGTTATGAATGAAGGTTGACGTTAGATGGATAAAAAATGGCCCACATATTTATAGACATTACTGCTTATCCTCCTGTCCAAAAGTGGAGTGGGTGGCATTTCAAAGTAGTTAGGTGTTGTCACTGGAAGAAATCAACTGGAGGTTCTGTAGCAGTCAGGGATGTGGGAAAGAAGATTCCTTACATTTTTTCAATGGTCCTTTGCAATGCTTAAATTCCACAGTTGTATGTGTCATAGCCTTTATTTGCCTGGTGACCTAATTAATTTTCTTGTGTGGGAACATTCATAAAATTACTCCTTGTAGCATAGACAGTGTATATTCAGAGAGAACCACTGGTTTTGGAAGGAGGAACCACTGCCTTTGATAGACAGGTTAACTCTGACTCTCTACACCAGGAATCCTCAAACTTTTTAAACAGGGAGCCAGTTCACTGTGCCTCAGACTGTTGGAGGGCCGGACTATGGTTTAAAAGGACAGGAAGCAGCTAAGCAGGATAGGCAGCTGCGGCAAAAACACCCGGCAGGGCCGGATAAATGTCCTGGGAGGGCCTCATGTGGCCTGTGGGCCATAGTTTGAGGACTCCTGCGTCTACACAATAAGGGGGAGGCTTCTGAACCCTTTGTCTCTGATTTTTATTTGGTATATCTCTTTATTTGTTATATAATCTTTGATTAGCTGTAACCTAATCAAAGTTATATAAATTGCTGAATGAATTACCATAAAAAGCAGTCGATTGTAATAATATAGAGTTTCATTGCTTTGCTTGATGTGTGAGGTCAGAATGGGTGTGACTTTAATGAGCTGTGAGTAGAAATGGCCTTATCAGAGACATAGCCAGAGGGCAGCCCCTCTTCCAAGGAGGACTGTAGGAAAAGATGCTGCAGTCCCATTTCACGTGGCCCCCAGGCCACCCCGTGTCTGAATGTAGCACCCATCTTGTGGGGAATGCATATCACATATTGGAATCCACTTTACTGATCATTGCTGGACCTGATCCTTTGGGCCATTTTCATTGCTTGCTGATTTGTGGATTACCCAAGAACATGCTTAACTAGAACAAACTTTGCCTTTATTCTTTGTCAGCAGAATCGTGATGACTATTCTTCTTGGACCTAGTTTATTCCCTAGTAAAGTGGTATGTTAGAATGTTAAAAGGAAGGAACAGCTTTTTTCATTCTAATGAGGTGCCACCAAAGCAAGTTTGCTCACAGTGGTACCACATAATGGTTCCCTTGCTGACACCAAACGTTATTACACTTTCTTTAAGCCTCTCCTGAAAGGCTGTAAGTCACTAGCATCTTTGCTCAGGAAGGATGAACACCAGGCAACGCCTTGGTCACTTTTTATTATGATCAATTGGGCTATGACTTATTCTTCCATGCATACTGTATTGATTTGCTAGGGCTGGCATAACAAAACAGCACGAGCTGGGTGACTCAAACAAAAGAAATTTATTGTCTCACAGTTCTGGAGGCTGGAAGTCTCAGATCAACGTGTTGGTAGGATAAATTCCTTCTGAAGCCTGGAGAAAGAATCTGTTCCATGCTTCTCACCTGGCTTCTGATGTTTTGCTGGCAATCTTAGGTGTCACCTCTGCCTTCGCCTTCATACCACCTTCTGCCTATGCGTGTCTCTGTGTCCCGATTTCCTCTTTATATAAGGACAGCAATTGTAATAGATTAGGGTCCATCTTACTACAACACCCCTATCCTATTTATATCCTATAAATAAGGTCACATTCTGAGGTGCTGGGATTAGGACTTCAACATAAAATGTTTTGTGGAACAAAATTTCACCCATAACATTTGTTATCATGAAAGTAGTCATTTTTTAGAAAAATGAAAAGAATACAGTTTATAACAGGACTGTCTGCATGAACCTGTTGCCTGCTAAGTGTAATTTATCTGTTGCTCCCACTTTAAAAAAAAAAAAATTAAACTTATTTCCTTTAAGTGAGGAACAGTCAAGACTTTCAACTGCTGAAATTTTGTCTCTTTTATTCAGAGCTGGCGTCTGAGCGACGTGTTCAGGTCTGTTTTCTCTTTGGGGCTCTGGGCTGTGCTTCTGCTGTGCTCTCAACCTGGGACCTCCTCAGAGCCAGCCACTCTGCTATTTGAGACCTGGGCTGGGGAACACATGGGATGCTTTCTGGCAAAGAACTCAGAGACCTCTGACTCATTCCACCAGCCACGCCACACCTTGGA